TGTATGGACATTATACAGTATATGGACAACAATGATATATATATATATACCATTGTTACCATATATATGCCGTACCTGTCAGCTTTTTCCGGCAAAAATACATCTCAGATTCCTTCCATAGAGAAGCCATCTATTTTTTATGAAAAAACTAACATTAAATATGATTTCAATAAATTAACCTCGTTGGTACCAGTCTCGTCAATATCTCGTCTCAAAACCGGAAACGGGTTTCATCGACACATCAAGGGGATAGGATTTTCGCGTAAGCACTTAACCAATTCCTCATATAAGTTGAGGCGTTTTTTTCTCTCTCGAATTAAAAAGTTAGTTTGGAGCAAAAATCACTAAGACATGTAAAAGTTAGAATGCAATCATACAAAACCTTAAGGTGTTATATGCAATTTCAGATCAAGGCAGTAGTAAATCTCAAGAATAACGATTTTATAAGAAGCGTCTCAGTTTAAGTTACAATTGTTCAGCCAAAATGCTCAGTCATATAAGATAACTTTAGCAGCGTGTCAAAAGCCGTCCGTCAGGTAAAAAAAAATTACCTGTCTCACCGTTTCATAAACAGTATCTATCAGAGTACTGATACTATTCAGATAGCTTTTAACAGGCCGCCTGAAGTAAGAATTGCTTTTTGAAAACTCTATGAGTATTCTTAAGAGGACAGTTCGGAACCCGTTCTCCGTTTTTGCAGCTTTTTAGGCGACAGTGATCATGAACAAGCGGCGAAAAAAGGTTCGGAGCTTAATTCTGTTCGTCTCTGACATTTCCTAGGTTCCCAATTTCCTACCGTTAGGTTAATAGAGCACCATCTTGAAATATACAGATAAATTACTTGAATGAATCGAGAGGGCCGTACAAATACGAGAGATATTATTAGATTTTATCGAAGCGAATCGAAGTCACCTAGCAAAATGACTAAGTAGTGAATCTAAAAAAGAAATAGCGGCGTTTGAAGTCAGGTTAATCTACTATAAAAAGGTACATTTAGCCAAAGTGAAATTAGGCTATTTTCGATGAAAACTATCTAAAAAAAAAAACGAATTAAGTTCGAGCCATGAGAGAAAAACTTTTTAATGCCTTAAGCGAAAGTTTCCATAATACAACATTGAGCAACAATATTTATGGACGCAATGAACTTACGCGTTCATTACCTATATCATTCAGGTCCACCGTGTTTTTCCATACTATCAGACCTGGTAATAAATTTGCAGATACGAAAGGATGAGTTACTTTATATAGGTAACTAGGACAGGGCAAGATAGAATGGAATAAGACGAGTCTGTCTGTTTGTGTGGCTATTTCGCTCATATTCTGATTATTTTTGTGTCTTTACCCTCGCCCCCTTCCCGCAATGCTTCCACTTGCTTCTCTTTACAAATAGTAAAGCCATTTGACATCACTCAGCCTGTACTGACAGCAGTAAACAAACGAATTTAATTACCTCTTTTTGACACATCAGTATCTGTGCAAAGGACCACACAGAGAAGATGGGGGGTTTAGTAAATGGGAAGTGCAGCGGTGGGTCAACAGGAAAGGCTATTACTGCTCAGATCGAAAGGGAACGAGTGGGCGACGTAGTAGCATCAGCAGCAGCTTAGCGTCGGCCTTTTTTCTTGATTGATTCGCCTGCCTTTCACTGCCGTTCTGCAGCTAATAGTGTGGCCTAAGTCCGTACTTATATTCGCTTGCCTGCTTCCCGCTTTCCACTTCTCGTATTTCCACTGTCGCCGAAATACAGCCGCGCCCCATTTACTGTCCTCACCTAACATACCTGCCTATCATACTCAGCCACTACTACTGCTTCCGGCGCGCGTGCATATAGCGAAGCTTTGGTCTGGTAGATGATGCGCCTTTCATGCATGTACGTGTAAAGTGTGTTGACTTTAATGGGCGCGCGCGCAGCCTCGGGGCACATCTTACCACAGAAGTTGGCGGAAACACGATGTGTCAAGCTACCAGCTACAGGCGTGAATGTTTTCACCTGCATAAAAGAACACGAACAATCGTCACATACGCTCCGCCGTTCTTCAGATACATAGTCTCACTCACTCGCGTATACAGCAACCAACGTCATTCACCCCCCATCTAGCCCCCATTCGGCAGACACCGTGTCCCTCAGCCTTGCACTATTGCCACGGCTAGCACGACCGCCACTGTAGTATAACGTCATCAACGAAAAATGCCTCCTTCTGCTTCTTCTTCTCTCCCATCGCCCCTCTGGTCGCCGCCGCGCACAGGTACCCCCACCAGCGCCAGGCCTTCGCGTCAGCTACTGCTACGGTTTACTACATCAGAATCTCTTGCACCTTCGGTTGGCGTAGGCTACTCCTAGTCTCCCCTGTCAGGCAGCTATGGCCATCCATCCGCACAATCCCCCAGGCGTGCCTAACAGACACCTACCCACCCTGGCAGGCTGCCGCTACTTGTCTAGTTGTTCATCGCGTATACATTTGCGTCCTCTCCTCGTCCCAAAACTTCCAAGCGCGCACTTGCCTTTCTCTTTCTGCTAAAACCCCACGTCACGAACCAGCCAGACCGCATGTGTGTGTGCTACCTAGGAAAAAGAAACCATCTACGTTCCATACAACCCCCAGCTTGCCAGTCACCCAACGTACCCAACCGTTCTCAGTATATTGCACCGCGCTGCATGGATCAAAGGTTCCAGCACTTTTCGACCCAGCTTCTTCCAACACGCCTCTCTCTCTCTCTCTCGCGCGCTCGCTCGTTCTGCAACTGCTTTTAAAATGCCATACGCTCTGCCGCTCATCCAAGGACGACGCCGACTAATTACGAAGTATCACCTGAAAAACGCGCGCGCGCGCGAACACACGCAAACATGCCACTAAACCGGCAACAAAAAGCAAACAAAATGACAAGGATTATATATCGGCTATAGCTTTCGTCATTACAATGCGAGCGTAGCAACGCCATCACTCGTAGTGTAGTCCTCAAATAACAGAGAAATAATTACGAGAACGGCAAATACCTGTTGATGTTTCTGCGTTTTCCCTGCTGCTTTACCCTTTTGGTTTCCGATCCGCCCCGTCGCTATAGGGTTATCGTGTTCTTTTGGTGAAATATATTGCCCGCAAACGAAAGTTGGTTCGCGCTGACTTAAAAAAAACTTTGAATTGTTATTGTCGTTGTGGCTGTTGTCGTCGTTCACGCTTTCTGAACAGAATACTTAATGAGTTACCCAATTTCGGCGTTTATATTTTTTATATGCTTCTGTCCCTGACGGTCGCTCTCAAATGATATTGATGCTCTGTTTGTGAGAGTGGGTATATGTATGCATATGTTCTGCGTTAAATTGATGGTTACGCCCACTTCCCGCTGTCTCTTCACTGCCCGCCAGCCGCCATATCAGCTTTCATGGTCAGGTGTAGCAAGCGGCACACGACAGAAACCGTACGTGGCAGGTTCGATTTAAGTCGAGTCGCTTTTTTTTAACGTGTAATGCTAACCGTTAGCTGTAGCTGTTAATTTTATTTCCTTACTTTCTCTACTTGCCCGACCGTTCAGCGTTGGCCGTCGTGACCACGGTGTCGCCGCAGTAGCCGCTAGCCGGAAACAAAGGTTAGCTAGTAACTACCGCTGCTGTCAGTCTGTTCTAGTGGACTGGATAGAATGGGAGAGAATGGAGCCGGCCGGGCCCGTGGCTTGTCGCCGTATCCCGTCCTTCTATCTTTGTTCTGTCGTACCAGCTGTCATTGCCGCCGTCCGTACGTCCGCTCACTGTTGGTAGGGGCGATAGGAAATTCGGGGGCTAGTTGGTCGGCCGTTGTCACTGCTTTTGTCGTTGTCGTCGTCCTCGACCGCGGGCGACGGCAGGCGGCATCAGCAGGCAGGCCGCGAACCGTAGCATGGGGGGACTACTAGTCGTAGGCGGAGCCTCCTCAGTGAAGCGGGCTGTCCTCCAGCGAAGCTCGGCGCTGCGTCCCCCTCTCTCTCCCCCGTTCGTGTCGCCCTTTCCCAGCCGAAGCCCGACCCAGCGGGCGTCAGCCATACCCTGAGTGGTCGTGGTCATACCAAGTCACACATCATTCTATCGCAAGCTAGCCAAACCGTCTGTTTGAAGTCAAATGAAGTTAAGTTGCTCTGCTATTCTCAACCTCGCGAAATAACCACCACAAGAACACAGACTTGTCCAGCGGCAGCCGTCAGCAGCGATTATCTACCAAAAGGTGCCACGAGCATCCAGGCGGCAGAAAATAAAAAGCCGCAGCGGCAGAAGTTATTGCTGCTGTTGTTGTTGTCGTCGTCGTCGTCGTCGCTGCTGCTGCTGCTAAGCGACTAACGGTAACTCGATCGTCATCGAAAGTCAGAGGAAAAAACGAGGAGAAGTCGACGGAGAGTGAGCAGGAGCAAAAGATTCGTGATTTAATCTCGTACAATCAACATAAATTTCTTTCAGAGCAGCGCCGGCCGCGTCAGTAACTTTAGCAAGAAGCTAGAGGTAGCTGACTGTCCCTTACATTCGCGTGCCACGTGCCACCGTTACTAAAGGTGAAATCAGCGTTTTCGCTCCAAACGCGCGCCAACCTGCCACGTCGAAGTGATGGGACAGCATTAACCTCAACTCCAGCGGACAGCATCGGCTCCCTCTGCTACTGCAAATGCACTTCATTTTGCTACAGTTACTAACCGCTATTTCTGCTTAACTTCATTGAACTGCTCGCTCGACAGTGGCGCACTGTACTGCGTTTAAAGAGAGTTCAGTTTAATTTCATTCAAAACTTACGTCAGCAGGTCGCAGTAAAGGGTACTCACCCGCCTGCCCTCAAAAGCCACTGCTGCCATCTAGCCCACCCTATATA